TACATCTACATGCAACCCTATACCTAGGATTCATTGGTACATCTACAATGCAACCCTATGCCTAGGATTCATTGGTACATCAAGAATGCAACCCCTATGCCTAGGGTTCAATTGGTACATCTACAGTGCAACCCCTATGCCTAGGGTTCAGAGACACAGTGGACGATGATGTGAAAATAATATAAGAGCCAGAGAACCAGGACCCTTGTTGCTGGAGATATATATGTAGGTAGATATATGTGTGTGTGCATATGTATATATTCACATATATAAACACACATGTAGATATGTCTGAATGTATATGAATTGGACTTAAGGACTTAAGACATAGACATATATTTGTATTTATGTTTTTTTTACCTTTATGTACATGGCCATTTGCATGTAGTTTGTATGAATTCATATATTCCAATTGGACTTGATAGACTATGAAAATGATAAAAGTACATGGAATTGGACTTGATAAATTATAAGAAATGACAAAAAGTACATGGAATTGGGAGGGGTATCAAAGATCTCAGAAGAAGCAAGAAGGGAAATCAGGTGTATACATAAATCAAGATTAAGTGTATGCACAAATGAAATTATCAGAGTATAAGATATTTTTAAAGTGAACAATATCATACTTAAGAATTTCATATAAGTATTTGTTTTATATTTCTAGGCATTTGACCAGCTCTATTACCATAAAAAGTATTTAAAATGTAAATAAAATCAATATCTTGTTTCAAATTTATAGATGAGAGAAGTGATTTCCAATTTTTCATCTACTTAGGAAAAACATTCTTTGGCAATTAAAAGATGAGATGTTTGAGCTCATATTACAATATAACCATATCACAGTCTTTGATGTTTAGAAGATGTTATGTAACATGCTTCCTTTAACCTCGTAGAATGTTAAGGAATTCTGCAACTCAGATAATTAATGAGTGACCCAAAATTAGGTTTAGAAGTCAATGGCACAATAAAACTGAAGTGGAGGGTCAACCCTGAGCACACGTAACAGCTGGTCATGGTCAGGGTCAACCACTAGGCCATGAGTTGCTTCAGATACGTGCGAAAGAAGGAAATTGCAAAAGTATCCTCTTTGTGCTTTGTCTTCACTTGCTGTCTCAATGGTTTTATAACAGACATGGGATGAAACGTGTATGGGATGGGGTGGACATACCACTTCCTGTTTGTGTCATGCATGGTGAGTCACATTGTCGAAGAAATGGCAGTGAAGTGAGAGAGTGAGGTATAGACTCTGGAAAGTTTAAGTTAGATTTACATGAGTTGCTTCCTTGATCCACCAAATATTCATTCAGTAACCATCAAAGCCAAAGTATAATTGGCAGAAGAGTAGTTATGTGAAATTTCTGTCTGATGGATGTGATCTCAAGATATTGATTGTCTGATGATTTGCTTCCACCTCACTGTGTTTACCATTATACAGTAAAGAAGAAAAGTAAGTAGAAATGTCTTCTTGCTTCTAGTTTTCTTTTTTTTAATTTTAGGATGTTTTGCTTATTCAATTTATGAATGTTTCGAAATAAAATCCTTTAGACTGGGCCTAGATGCCCCACATTGCCTTGATGGTTGTGCCTTTTCAACCCCATGTGCCCATGTTCTTGGTCATGTGCAATCATTTGCTCCCACACTTTTCTGAGACAGCTATGTCTGAGGCCTGTTATAGATGCTATGGGAGGACTGCCCCTTCCTGAACACAAGAGAAGAGGAGTGTTTGGGTGTGGTGAGTGGGGCAGAGGGAGGTGAGGAAGGGAACGAGACGAGGGGAGGGAGAAGAAATTGTGGTCAGGACATAAAATAAATGAAAAAAATTACTAAAAAGAAAATTAAAATATTCAGAAAAAGAAGGAAAAGAAAGAGCCTAAAGCGCTGTTGAGCATGGCAATGGGAAGCAGCTTTCAAGAATGCTGAAAGTGGCAGCATGACTGCCATCAGGGACTCCATCTATGAAAGTCATGATGGAAAGAAGACCACCAAAGAGAAGAGACTATCCCTTAACATCTGCGGGATTCGGGGTCTTGTAAGGGTCGGCCGTAAACGCAGCTTGACTTGGTAGTTCCTTTTTCTCTTTTGCTGCTCAGACCAGTCTCCTTTTTCACAGAACTGGAAAGGGAAGTTCAGAGAAAGCAATCTGGGGAGAGGTACCAAGTACCTGCCTGTCTATAACCTATGAGAAGTGGAGACAGTAAACTATCACAGGACCTGCCTCCGTGGTGGCTTCCTTTTAGACTATACTTTTCCTTGCTCTGGGGAATCATTTACCCGTCCCTGGATCCCTGTTTATTAATTGTTCCTCCATAGCAACTCTGTCTTCCAGACTTTGTGAAGTCATTT